TACATATTGAATACCTTATGAACACTTGCACACAATCGTGCAACTTGATTATTTTCAACGTAATAAATAGTACATAATATTAAATTAACACATTTAATGCTGGCAGCATTATACTATAGTATATGTTAATTTTAATTTAAAATTAAATAACAAAAAATCAGTTTGAATATCGTTTATTTTGGATGCGGCGTTGATATAATTTACGTTCTGTCAGAACACTTAATAGTATGATACAAAAAAAACAGCTAGTTACGTTTTTAAAAAGCTTAGTAGAAAACAAATTCTTATTCATTATAAGCCTTGGGGCAAAAGCAAAGAAATCCATCAATATAATAATAGCAAGTATCATTATTTCTGTTACGTGAAACATGTTTCAACTACTAGATTGTCTATATACAAACATTGATACGTGCGATTTCTCTTATGCAATAATCAACCTACTTACTTTATAAAAAATAGAAATCAAAAACATGAATAGTTTCTTTCAATATTTACTAACCATGCTAAACAAGGTCAGTTGAAAACGTACGAAATAACTGTCAACTATCGGATCTTTTGAATAAAAAAATATTGTTGTCCTTGTCATTTCTCAAAAATAAAAGAGATACTTTACGAGTATATAACAAGGTAATATTATGTGGCTTTATTATATTCATAGCTTTTGCCTTCGTCCGCGGACATTTGAAAAATTAAGTAATACATATTACTGAGTGGTAATGTACCATTCTAATGGCAAAAGAATATTTGAAATAAGTACATAAGTTTTTTTTTATTTATTCGTTACGTATAAAAGCGTAGTACTCTTAGACAAGGAATAACTCCATTATCATTTACAATGAAACTTGCAGCCTCAAATACTATTTCTATAAAAATATGCATTTTCATTTACCAGTGTTACGGATTAGCTCTCAAAATTTATTTTATACGCTACAATACTATTTGGTTTAATACAAAATCACAGATATTTTTTTCGTCATATTCAATCGATAATTGTAAATAAGACGACAAATTTTATAAATTTTAAATTTACATTAATTTTCACGAATTAATTTGCACTGACCTAATATCAATAGTTGCATGTACTCAAGCCGACTAGGCAAATAACGACAGTCTATTATTACACAATGGCTAGTTTACATTAGTGAGCATTAAATAATTTGTATTAAATAAAATATATACTCAATCGTCAAAAATGTATTGAATAGAAAAATCTTTACGTAACTTTTACTTGGACAATCAACACGCAGAATAAGACAGCGTATTTGTAACTTAATAATGATATTATTTGGAGCGTAACTCACTGAGGGAACAATATGATGTAAATCCCAGAGTGTACACCATACTAGCTGTTTCCCGCGACTTTGTGCGCGTGAGCATATGACCGTTAATTTAGGTGCATTGATTTAAAAAATAAAGCTTCTCAGTTGTTTTTCTCTATGATGCCGTTTTTCAACTGCTTTACCAAGCGTGGTAACAATATAAATAAATAATACGTGAAATTACTTCAAAGAAGAACAGTTGGTACAGCTAGTTGTATGACGAAAAAACCAAAAATTTATATAATACATTGGAATATTTTTGATAAAAAGTATAGAATATTTCATTTGAAAAACTTTCGCTTTTCATATTTAATAAGTTATTTTTCCAGATGGTACCACGCATGCCAGTCTTGGAACGGTAAGACAGGCGAATGGCAGGTGTGGGTAAACGCGGAGAGAGTAGGCAGAGGATTCCATAACCGAGTAAGTAACTTTGTTATTTTTAAGAAATCACATAACTTATTTAAAGAAAAACTCATAATAGAAAAATTGTCTTGTATTTTATAAAGTACACTTCCATATATATACAGAATGATGCAACGCAAATTGGATCTGTCGTTAATTTTTATAAAACCCGTAACAGAAAAGCCACACGAGACGCGCCGCTACGGCACGCTTCCGGCGCCCCGCATCAAATGTGGATAATTACAAGGAAATCTTCATACATAACATTGTATGAAACTCTAAGACTTAATTCAAAAAGTCTTTTATCTCCCGCAATGCAAATTAGTTTTGAAATATCATTGATAATAAGCCGCAGTTTAATGTCAATTTCGCCCTTGTGGCTTAAATATTCAGTTCGTTAAAGGAAATTTTCCAAAATCAATGAACTAAATTAACGAATGTACGAAATATATTTAAATAACTCGCCACTCGGTGTTTACGTTTCAAAATAATAACATATAATATTTTAGCGTAAACTGTATAAATAAAACGGCAAATAAATTGCAGCATGATTTTTATGTTATGAATTTATATTTGTATTATTTTTGAATCCATATTGAAATTTCATTTTTAGCTCGTGGGCCACGTCATAAAAGGTGGCGGTGTAGCTATATCTGGACAAGAGCAATCATTATTGTACAAAAAAGACGGACTAGATCCCGTTATACGTAAGGATATTTTATTATATGTATTTAAAATATTAAAGCATTTTATTATTTAGAAAAATAAATTAACGCTACCATTTTTTTAGACCAATCTGGTTTGATGGGTGAAATAACAATGCTACAATTGTACCACGTAGCATTAACAGCAGGAAAGGCGCACAAAGATCATAAACATCATCACGTCCATCACTTTAAACACGACGGTACACCGTTAGATCAGCCGACTGAAGCAGCAACTGAACCACCCCCGCCCCAACCCACTCACATAGGCAACGGAAACTATCTGATCGGTGGTCAACTCCAAAGGGCTCCTAATCTAAATCTAGCTGGCGCTCAACAGCAAATGATCCCAGTTCAACTGCCGAACGGTTTACAAATTCATCAGCAATATGTCAATGGTCAATTGGGCAATCGTGTTGTATCCGAGCAACTTTTGAATGGAGTTCAATCACCAAATGGAATAGTAGGTGCAGCGTCTCAAATACCGCTGGTAGGTCTATCAATCTCACCTCTTTCGCAGAGCCCAAGTTATTCCCCGAGACAAGCACAGCAAAGCTCAGCGCCGACAAAAACTTCAACCGTATTATTATCCAGTTCTTTACTAAACCCTGCTAATGTGCAATACATCGATGGACCATCATCACATAAATTATTTAGAAGAGATTCAATAAAAAGAGATAAAAGAGACAATCCAGAAAAAGCATTAATTGAAGAAAATACTTCAGGTATAACAAATTTTATAATATTTTTTTTACAACATAAAACATTTAGTAAACATGTAGCTTAAGTAGCTAAGGGAGCAGAAGAAATTTGAGCGCCTCTCACTGGGGTATTTCCTACTAAGAATTTAATAGATGAATAAGCTCTAAATATATGGAGGAAACATAATCGTAGAGAGTACACAATAGCTCTTTGTTCTGTTGAAGTGGATAAGGGAAAACATTTTGATACGATGTTTATTTGATTTGTAATTCATTATACTTATTTGATTTTCATATTTTTAGGTAAGAAAGATAAGCGGGGTCTAGTATCGTTATCAGATGGATCGATAGTAGACGAAGCGCTCCTGTCTCCAAGCATAGTGGACGATAGTGAGGACGCTGTATTCGAACGATCACTGCTACAAGGACTTGCTGGAGTCGTTGGAAACGTACCCATACAGAATTTACAAAAACAAAATGTAAGTTGTAATAAATTTAATTTTTGATAACATATCAGGAAAGCAAAAATCTAATCTAAAGAATAGATAATTTATTTAAACGAGTTGAAAGCATAGAATAATAAGCATCTTATATAGCAGTGTTGATAGCAAAGGTTCTAGACGATGTATCGACCGCAATGCTCACATATTGAAGTATTAAGATGCTAGGTTTACTTGTAGCCGACGAACATTAATTATATACCAAAAAAAAAATCGAATGTGTATTTATTTGGGTCCTGGAACCGTTAAGATTTGCTATGAGATCCAGCAGATGACATCAACATGTTAGTTCCAAATTAAATCCGAGAAAAATGTTAGCTACGCTCGTAAATATCAGGCAAATTATTTGCTGCATTATCTCTCAGGTTATTGAAAAAAACTGTTATTTTTTTAGAGCGACGAGCGGGAACCAGCCGAGGCTGAAGTGACAGCTGTAATGCAAGTGTGCAGCGGCTGTGCGCAGGAGCCATTCAAAAAGGCGCTCATCCTCTCATGGAGGGCAACGCCAAAGAAACTCTACAGCGGAGCACATTATTATAAAGGATTACCAATCTGTCGAGCTTTTTAAAACACTCATTGATATTGCACTATGTATATTATTTACATCATGAAATTGCGTTCCCTCACCGAAACACTTGTATAAAACAGTTCATATCTCTTTGAAAAAACAAAGATAAAAAAAATAGTCTGTATTCGATATTTGATCTGCTATGTTTCTCTTTGTTTCATTTCTACATCATCTGATATGTCCGTAATTCGTTTAGATACGGCTATTCTGAATCACGTGTTGAATTTTGTACCTTATGAGCATTATGTTATATGTATATGTAAAATAATAAATTGGCATATTTTAATAGGCTAGTTAAATTTAGATATCAATAAAAATTATTCTAATTTTGTAAAAAGTTTTTATTTGGATTGCTAGTGCCGATTTTATTTTATTTATTTGTAGTTTTAAGTTTTTTCACCGTTTATTCTTACTTTATGATTTAGAAATAGTTTTAAGATTTTTATCGTCTTAAGTATAAACCGTTGATTAACTGAAAATGATTGTTTAACACAATTTATTAATTTTATTGATTTTTTGCTACTAATTTCTCAAGTCAAATTTTGTAAAACAGTGTGAAATATTAAGTAATTGTTTTATTAAAATGCCTGTTAACAATAGAAATGCTAAATGTACGAAATTAAATAAAATCATGTAATTTACATATTTTTTATTTAAATATCAAGAAAGTGTACTCCGTTTTTAAAGCCCGATACACATAAATAAAACGTACGCAATCGTCGCTCAAGTCGCGAGCAAATACTTCGTAAACTCCGCCAACCTTATCTTGATGACGTGAGTAAAAGCTTATTCAATAAACTTACCTTAGATTTATGAACATGATGATGGTGGTATTCAGAGTCGATTTCAGGCTCACTAAAATAACTTTGTTCCTGAGGACAAAACATAATAATATTAACGTAGGTTTCCACAGCCCCAACACTAATTGAATCAAAGCAATCAATATTAAATATTGCTTTCACCATTTCGATAGTCAAAAGAGTTTCGGAGAAAAAGTATAAAAATTAAATATAAAAACCTTTAATAATCAACATAAAACATTAATTAGCAAACTTACATATTAAACTGGTAATAAATCTCAGACGTGAGAAGAAGTACAAAGTAAAATCAAAGGCACAATTCCATTTCAAATTATATTACTAATTGACTGAAAGATGAATGAAATTAATGCATACCTGATCCCAATTCGATGCGGTCGGGCAGGCTGTAGCAGCCGCCGGCATGGACACGGAACCCACCCCAACAGCGCCGGGGAATACGCCCCCACCAATATCATTTGACTCGAACAGACGGAGGACTGACCGGTCTCTTATGTCATGAAGATGACTACTGTAGACAATAAAAAAAATATTTAAGTCGCTAATTACATACATCCTTTCGCAGATCTTATAGTCTCCTTTATTTCCCCCAAAAAATCTAGAATCGTCCGAACTCTTGAAGCAAAGCCACTCAAAGCAATAAGTAACAAATATAATAAATGCATAAGTGAAAAAATTTAATGATTTTTATCATCATCGTTTTCATCACCACCATCATCGTAAACCTATATCTCTGTCAGATATAACCTTCCTTCACCTCGCATCTTATCCAGCCAGTAATGTTTTGAACATTTAGTAAAATACTTAAACTCCGTTAAGTTTCATATAAAGCATAAACGTGAATAATTATTAACACTTCAAGTGATATTGGACGTAAATTGTTTGTGATCGTCAGACGATATATTGCAACATACATATGTTCAAGCGGCGCGGCGCATCCGAGCTACGAAGTATGACTCACTCTATTAATCGATTTTATCAAACGTGTAGTTAACATCTCATTACCAGTTGCCACTGCGTTAACATTTTATCAAATATATCTTTTATAAAGTCAACTAAAACTCATATAAAAAAATCTTGTAACTTATACCACACTATCCCCGCTACTCCAAACGGAAAACTACCAATGCAATTTAAAAAATAATCCTCTGCGTATTTTTTATTTTTATAAAAATGTCGTTATCTCAATACTTTGTAAGTTAACACTAAGTTGCCTGCATATCTTTTTTTAAAAAAAACGTAAATGAACTAAGAAGATTTATTAAGATTTATGAGAGCCGTGATTAAAAATTAGAACTTGGAAAATCGCTAAGTCATAAGAGGACGATCGGACATAATGTTCAAAGCCCTCTCAACATCGGGAATTTACTGAATCAAAGAACAATAACAATAGAAGTCTGTGAGCAACGTAGAAATTGGTTAACTCAGAAACTAATTTCTGTAGTTTCACTGAGAAATTTGCCCCAAGATTACTTATTAAATTATTAACATAGCTGTAAGAAAATTTATAAACAATTAATATACGCAAATATTGTATAACCATTAATTTATTCTATGATATTTTTCGTATCCGCGGTAAAAAATCAATCAATTGAAAAGTACCGAATAACTCCATAAAGGACTCGGCACCAAACGAATCAGGATCGCCCGTAAAATGTTGTAATTAAAAATATTAATATTTTCATTAAGTTAATCGGATTTATATTACAATTAAATTAAATATACGTTGCTATAGTAACCATTGTCAAGTGTAATATTTTCTTTTATTATTATAATTTCAGCAAGGAAAGTAATAAATGCATGTGAAGCTGCGGGTAACAGTTAGTCTAATATATCTATCTTCAGAACTGAAAATGATAGGTTGGTTTGTCGTTATTCACAAATATTTTTAATATCTTATTGTGGTGGGTTATACATCTCAAAACTTTTTCATAAGACACCTTAACTTTGTAACTTTATTAATATACTAATCATATTCTTGTAACCGTGAAAGTCGACTGCTAAAACTGGTATTTAAATATTGCTGTCTTATTTTTTCCAAAGAAAATTTAATAGATGACAATATGTTCATATACAGGTATGTCAGCAGTGGAAACCCACCCTAATGTAAACCAATTTAGTAAAAATATACATACGGGCAGCGGTAGTCATGTTCGTGAAGAAACTCCTTACAACCTACCGGCGTACAATTTTTACTAAACATTTTTCACTCAAATAAAGGCCTTGAACCTAACACCATAGATCAGAACGCACCGTACGATAATGCCAAGGACGCGATAAATACTGATGCGATTTTCCCACTGCACCCCATAGAGGGCGCACTAGACACTGCGCAGCACTGCCCTAAATAATAACGTCATGTCCTAGTTTTGAGAAATATAATTATTAAAAAATAATGGGACTTATTTTGCACCCAGACATTGTATTACAATGGGTTTCGAATGTCGTATCACTTGTATTTAATAAAAATTGCAATCCCTTTTATTATCCTTGACAAAACGGAGACGAGTACACATCAGTGGAATACTACAGTTAAATAAATAAAAAACATAATGAATATTTTTTATGATACGAAGAAATACAATATTAAAGATGAGAATACAATAACTACAATGTGACGGAAATTAGGACTGTTATTGATATTAAGTAGACGAAACGCGTAAACAATAGATATGAGATTATCGATAGAATAAAATTATATATTCATGACTATTGCTATTTGCTTATGACTTCTGAGCTCTCACCACTTATAAGATTAGGATTATTATTGTGGACTTGGTTCATACTTTATTCATTTGATTAACAAACAAACATTTTACTATTAACAATTATTTGGAAAATCTAAACATTTCAAATTGTTAAAGACAGCGAAGTAAATAGTCCTGTATTTTCTTCTAATGGGTTCACTCTCCAGCCGTCACGACAATAAGCTTTGAAAGCCTTTGGTTTAGTCAACAAGTTAATTACATTAACTTGTTGCCCCGTCTATCGGGTATCTTAGTTGATTAACTACGAACATTTTCAACCAAATAAAAAAGCCACTTCGGTACTACAGTGCTATGTTTTCTCGTATAATATATGTCAAAAACTGTACTTACATTACCAATTAAATCGGTGATTAGTTTTTTATCTCTCACTTTTTTGTATCTCAATTAAAAAAAACTTACCGCACATCTTCGAGCTCGTAAAACATGTCCTTGGAGGAGTCATGGATGTAGATCTTGACCATTGGCGATTCCATATACTGCATAGTCAGCTGTTTGGGGAAACTCCGAACGAAGAGAGCTTTCACGGTGTCGATCGATGTTATCTCATTCGGCAAAAGCGCGCGTTTTGTCTCGTTTCTATATTGCAGGAACACTAAACCTAAAGGAAATAAAAAAATAAACGATTAATATAACGTATTATTTGTGCAATAGCATTTTAACTCTACAAAGGACTAAAACACATACCACAAATTAAAAAAATAAAATCTAAGTACAAAGTTTTGCGAAAAGACAAAGGAAAAGTATTGTACAGCCAACGACAGCGCGTATTCTTTTTATGGAAAGTTTAAAATGAAAAAAGGAAGCAGAGATATTTAATTGCTACGATAAAAAAAACACCTACCAAGGGGGCGTTCTAAAGTTTTGCTTGGAGTTCTAACAACTGGTAATGACGATCTTTGCTTGCCGCCGCGCCTGAAGCCAGTAGATGCAGTTTCTACTTCGGACATAACACCAGGATCATCTTCGAATAGAAGAGCGTTGTTCGTTGGTGGATAGTTTCTTTGCAGCGGGTGCTGAAATTAAGAAATACTTGGACACACCACAAAGACAAAAGACGACAAAACAGTCGTCGTTTGGATTTAATTTTGTCATACGATTGTATGTCATAATTTCCAATAATTTCTACCCGAGCCTTCCTATAAATAGCAATAAATTTCTGTGCCGCATGCAACTTTAATCAGATAATCGGTCTATTCTACAGACTGTCAATAATGCTAGCCGCCATTCTAAATTGTTGCCTCCGTTATCTATCCATTGTACAAGTCGCGACGAAATTACAACCAAAATATCCTTGGTAGGTAACTCATCTACAACTCTAACAAACTTTAATATTAAGTGTTTTTCGGTGTCAACAAACATTTTTGACGAAAACATTAGCCAGCTAATAAGTTATATGATAACTGAGCCAGCAGTGAAAAAGACAGATTTCAATTATCAACCGTGTTTTAATTTCACAATTCTATAAACGTTCCCGCATCGGCTTCCCTTTGCCTGCAGGATATAAAGTAAAGAATTATTTCAAAAGCACACATGCTATTATCCTGTAAATTTTTAATATTTAACTTCATGGAAAATGAAAAACCCATAATTTCTACGCTTACTCTTTAATTATAGCCGTTCAGTTTTCCTTTTACACAACCCATTGTTTTCTTATCAATATTTAATAATTTAATATAAGATTTTAGTGTAGTTTAATTTACGTTGGAAACTAAATTAATATTACGTGTGGAACAATGTCTTATGAGCAAATACGTTCTCTTAAGGAGTGGTTGAGAGGTAATATTTCGTTATTACCTCTCAACCAGTCTTAGAGCCCGTCTCTGTATGCAACAAAATTAATTAATCTTAATTAGTAATTGAGATAATGACTTTCACTTTCTCAGCTTTGTTGATATGATGTTTATATATTTTCTTTACGAATCTTAATGTTTAAAAAAAAGCTTAATTGAATTATAATACCAATGTACATGTCAACGATAAATTATTGTTAGGTTAGTATATATATATCAGTGATTCCCAAAGTCCGCTGGATACATATTCCTGATGGCGGAACATAAAGTTCACAAGTAAAAAATTCTCAGCACTGGATTCAAAGAAATTAATTTGATAATGGATTTAACAAGATAAAATTGATTTAGGAATCTATGATTTATATTATGTTAATTCCAAAACCAGCAAAAGGTTAAGAAAACTTCAAGAAGACGTATGCTTTGTACCTTTCTTATTCGAGGATCTAACATTTTCTGGCTGACGTCACGATATTTGGTGACAGTCGCATATTCAGGTATGTTCTTTGCAGTCAATGGTGCATTACGCTGAAGAGCAATGAAGATAAGAAATAAACAAAAACATAAAATAAAATCATAATCAAAAGCAGGAAAACATAACAAGAAAAAGGAGGGGCTAGAAATTAATAACATATAAATTTAATTATAATAAATTAAGATATAATTATAAAAAATAGTGGTGTAAATAATGTAGGAATAAACAATTTCATTATTATGTTCCCTTTACTTAACATTTTTAACAGTAAATCAAGATATACAAGAAAACAATAAAATCACACAGCTCTTAAATATGAAGCCCAAACGTTATAACTTTAAAACTTTTAAAACCGTAGATTTACATTAGTTTTACTTCATAATATCACTAAGATTTTCGCCGAAAGATTTATTTGAATTATATAATGACACTTATTATTGAATTTTACATTTTTGCTAATTCGATGAAACTACAATATAAAGGTACGTTGAATACACAAATATAATTGTGATACCATACCAAGATAATTGTGACAAGTTTATAGTGTAATGTTACTAACCTCAAGCTCCAACGAATTGATTTGATTAGGGTGGTGAGGATGCAGGTATAGATGGTTACCAGCGAGAGTGTGGCGGCGAGGATCTTCCCGACGCGACGGTCGCCCTCGCGGCGGCACCCGACCCGCTTCTCCGTCGGATAGCCCACCTGAACAAAACCAAAAATTGTAAACAAAACCCAATAAACTAAATCGATGTGTGACGGATAGACCATCGTGTGTACCATCTTCTGACTACAATACCACTTAACATCATATGATTGATATATCTATAAAAGAGGACATAAATTTCCAAAGCGCGAAGATGTGCGAAAAACAGATAACATAAGAAAGGCTATTCTTTTACTGAAATATCAAACAATCGAAAACATTTAACTTTCAAGTTACAAGCTCTGAATTCATCTTATCACAATTTTCCGAAACACCTGTAGGGAATTAGAAGGATGTAAGCGAGAGACGATTTTACATAAAACACTTACTATTTTAATATAATCAAAAAATTATTAAGCAATGTAACAAAATTGTGACAAATTTAGTAGTAGTCAAATCTAGCATTTTACTTCCTAACTCACTCCATGTGCTTTGCGCCAACGACACTCCGCAGAAGACGAATCGAATGAGACCTCACTTGTCAAAATCGGTTCAGTCGTTTAGGCTCTAGGCCGTCGGAATTGAACTTACATTAATACAAACCCACTTACGTAATATCAAACAAATATAAGCGCGAAAAGCATTACCATCTTTGTCAGTCGGGTAATAATGATTTATTGGCATACTTAGTGACAAAGGTGCCAAGGTTAAGATGGCAAGAACGACTAAAATAACCCGGCAGGTGCGCAGATTCCACATAAAGTTGGATAAGGACAGAAAAGATGATTGCTGCAACATTTAAGAATACTTTCCACCATAGGAAACAAAACAAGATCATAGGAAAATATCAGTTGTCGACTAAAGTGACTAACTCTGGGGTTTTAAGATCAAAATCCCAGTATAAAAACATAGTGTTAAATATGTTTTATCAAAGATAATGGCCAGGGATGACAATATGTTTTAGACAGATCACAGATTTCATTTCATCTACATCTTAGTTTAATTCTGACATTACTTTTTTACTTCTCTCTTTTCACCCCCTTTACCGTTTTTTCCCTCCATCCATTCATCTTTTCTTAGACGTTATTTTACCAATAACTTATACATTCACACTTAACTCTTCTTAATATGTTTCCCTATTTTGTTATAAGAACAAAATATATCTTATCCGTCATAAAATGCTTTTCTCTGCCTAATTTGCCCAATTTTTTGAAGTATAATTAATATCTTTCTATTATTATACACATATATTATATTCATCAAACACATTCAAGCATCTTTCACATACATTCATATCAAAATATTCATCAAACTAGACAAAAACTAAAAAATGCTTAATGAGAAACCTAAAAAGCCTTTCATCCATCCTTTAGCCATGCTTCTCAATTATCAAACTGCTCATTCAAAAACATACACATTCAAAGGAATGCTTAAAGGATGGTTTTTTAATAGGTAATGAGAGCATTACCTATTAAAAAACCAAATATATAAAGTTTTTGTTCTACCAGTCAGAACTCTGATCAACAATTCACATGCATTCATCACACACAAATAACATTCATCTTCCATTCTTTATTACTTCAAGTTTATTTAGGAGAGTTGTAATAAAACACCAAATAATAGATATAGGACATTTAATATATATTTTTAAAAACTATTACATTTTCATCATAGATTTCAATGGGAACAGTTTTATTGTAACTTTTTCATATATGTTATGTAAATATGTACTCTTTATTTTAAATCTCTGTAATTGAAATAGACATTTTATGTGCATTTCCAACAATATTTAAACTTTGAAAGGTTTTAACCGGAACATCTGTTATTTCATTTGTTGTACATTTTATAAATATATTTTTTGTAATATTGTATTCACCAAAATATTTCATGAAAATAAAATATTGAAGTAACTATATAAGGGATAGGGTTTTCTTCTACGCTTCGATGGAGATGTTTTCTAGAAACACACTACACTCTACGCTCCATCTGGTTGAAGTGATAACGAGTTTATTCGAACACGTCATCCGAAAGAGAACCTGAAAAAAAACATACAGTTAAAACATAATTAAAAAAAATTGTTTTCCACCACCCCATTTTTGTAACTTTTGTAATCGTATCTCTACAACGGCTAATCGGATTTGGATAAAAATTGGCATAGGTCTAGAATATTGTCTAGAAGCACAGAGAGGCTATAATTTTTTTTAATTTTCGCGCCGGTCGGATTCGCGAGCGATAGTCTAAAAAAATTAAAATATTTCACTGTAATCCGCATAAATATCGCATCGCCACTGTTATAATAATTGCTCAGCTTGCCAGCAAACAACGCACAGATTTTTATTATGTACATAAATATTGCAATTTAAGTTCTCACAAGCGCAAGACAAGAGATATTCGCATAATAAAATTATGTTAGTATAATTTAAAGTAACCACATTTAAAATATCAGAAAAAAAAATAACGCTAAGTGTATGCAATATTTCACTTTTCACTTACAAAAACGATATGAAAACTTACCGTCCAGAGAATTTGTGTCTCCGTTAACCTTGGTCTCAACGATGTGTGGCACTTTGAAGTGCACGATGATGCTCCGCTGTTGCATTACAGCGAAGTCTTCGGGTGGGGAATGCTCCGGATCAGAGATGTGATACGTTGCCAACTCCATTTCGGAGTCGAAAGTTTTCGCATTGTTTATATTTGCCGGGGGTTCGGCCGGGGCTGCCTCAGTTGTTTCGCGGCACGGCTTGCACGACAAGTACTGCCATACCCACGACAGAGCGTTCTCCAACCGATCCGTATTCTAAAAAAAAAAAAAAAAATCAGTAAAATTATTATACTAAATTTATTACAGAAAAACATAATTAAATTAATTAGAAATACTTACCAGCAGGAAATTCCCGAAGCACCGGCACAGATACACTAATTGACACATCTTGATGTCAATTTGATGAACAATATGAGAACTTGATGTATGAGAACTTTCTTCGAGCGAGGAACAGAAGAGAGTGATGCCTGAACAGATCTATGTAACTTTAAATAAGCCTTCGCGCCAACGCACTACATAACAACCAAAACTGCTTGAGCCCTAAATATGCGTTCCATTTCTTTCATCCCTAGCATAACTGCAGTGAGAGGGAGCGAGATAATTATCATTCGAATGGTTCCAAACAAATGGCCTAGGATCGACAACTTTGGAAATAAACTGAGGGGTTGCTAATCGATATAGACGTAATTTTTTATTCTAGAAATTGCAAATATAATTTTATATCATTTCATCACTTATTTTGATAATTTTAATGATTAAATTGTTTAAAACGAAATTTTAAGGGTCACACTCACACTACTATACCGTGACATGCGCAGTAGCGATATCTGTGAGGGGTGAGGGCGGCGCGGTTGGGTTGCCAGCACTTGCCGCTGCACCCGAAAGTTTTCTAAAAACTAACGAATTGTAAGATTTTGTTATTTTAACAAAAAATACATTATAGAATATTGGTAAATTTTTTACTCAATGAGAAAAACATGCAATTTATTTCTTTTACTAAACCAGATATTTTTTGCAACATGTTAACGTAAAGAAATCTAAAATGATTTCCAATTACCGGTATTTAAGATTATGAATAAACAGAATAATGGTTTAATAAATTATAGGAAAATACTTACATCAATACCATTTAAACCATTTTTTTTCTCTAATCAGTTCACACTTCGTCTGCACAAATTCATATACATTCGTTTTCTCGTTGCTGTATTTTAGGTTAAAATTAAAAATACTTGATTTTTATAGATTTTTTTTACTAAAATAAATAAACAATAACCAAAAGATAATAACCTTTATTTATTTAAACTTTGGTGAGACATCATTATAAACTAAATAATGGAATTTTATGGCAAATGGGGAAATTAGAATTTTAAGCGTGCAATACTGAGCTGGATTGATACGTTTCAAGCTGTGACTATAGCGAAACGGACTAGGCAAAGAGCCGCCGTTGTGCCACTTGAACTCTGCCACACTTTCCTCGGGGGTGAAGTAATGACAATCACACATGACACTCATAAAGCGTTTATGAACCCACGATGTATCTAAAATATATTAACATACACAAGCAAGGAAATTTCGAAGTCATTGTTTTTAGTAGTTTCTTTTGTATTTATTCGGGGATTGCGCGCTCTTACTGATCCTGTCTCTTAAAAGTCTAACTTTCAAATATACAGAGACGGAATTGGTATAGTCGCCGTCAGATATATGTAGCGGACAAAAATATATGAACACTTACAAAGTCAAAAATCAGTCAGGATTATTTTCTCTAGTTTTATTTTGTTGGTTAATATGGTATCGTAAAAAAAGTTGGAGAGGATATTTGTCAAACACTACTATTCGGCGCCATTTTTCAAATATGGCAGTGCGAGCGCCAAAGATAAAACGGTGAGCGTCAAAGTAAAAATTCGAGAACACGTCAAACAAAAACCAATTTTTAAATTACAATTTGACGTTGTAAGTGTTCAGATATTTTTGATTAGTTGTGTGTAGAGAATTTATTGACAAGTATCTGTCCAGATTTTAATGAAGTAATGTATGTTCAGATATTATTTGTAACTTGTAGTGTATAGAATTTATTGAAATTTTAAATTGTTCAGAAGTACTTGGTCACCTTGTCTGCTACAATATATCTGACGGCGACTGTACCTTATGTTAGCGAATCAATTATTGAAATGTACGATTTATATTATGTTATATGGATGTTTATTATGACAGTTATTAAATATTTAGATTTATTCATAAATTCCATGAAAAAATATTTCTAAATTTAAGTATTATTAAGAAAAAATAAAAAAGGTATTATACATTATTTCAAATTCTCCACAACGGTTTACATTGTGCGTATTAAGCTTAATCTCCTAGCTCCTTCTTGTAATTTTTGTAAATAACTCATGAAACAAAATTAGAGTTAAGACAGTATGTTTCGATACAAGTTTTGCGACTATGAAAACGATCTTTTATAACAAAGATGTTACATTAAAAAAATATAGAGATCAATTTATAATGAGTCTGAAAATAATTTGTTTGAAGTGCTATTCGTAGACAGACGTGGGTTTTAATACCCAATAATGTAATATTTTTCTGCTGAAACATTCTGATTGCAATATCTTAAAGGAAGTTTATTCCCTACCCATTACTGAGAAATGTCATTTGTCACTAAATACAATTAGTTTGATTAGTTATAATAGCTGCATACATACTTGTTAAATTATACCCTTTATGGTTTTGTGTATGATATTAGTTTTACAGTGGGAAGGGAATTTAATTCTTTGATTATACCCCAGTATAAATTTCTATACAAGGAGTCTATTTTTGTACGTAAATCTGTTTTGAAGAAGGTGACATTGAGAAAGAATACAAGCAGTCTAGACAGAATATTATTAAACTATTGTAAAATTTATATGTATGTAGTTATTGTGTTACATAACAATTAAAAACAATATCAGAGTGTCTCATGACATCGCTCCATCATTGCATATGCTTAATTGCAACTATTTCCTAAAGATTTCCAAATTTTTTTTTTTACAGAAAGGGCAAACGAGCATTGGGAACACCGAGGTGTTCAACGACGCCCATGGACATTAGGAATACCAGAGGAACCGCAGATGCGTTGCCGGCCTTTGAGATGGTGATAAGCTCGCTTCTTGAAGGACCCTAAGTCGTAGCGGTTTGGAAATACCGCCGAGGACAGACCATTCCACAACGCTGCTGAGCGAAGCAGAAAGTTTCGCGCAAACCAAATTCGAAATAAATTCAAAGATATCGAAGTTCTAGTTTCACAGAATTTTAACATATTCCTAGATAGTTAGTAGCTTTGTTTTTTGTTATCGTTTGGTTACAAGAAGGCTTTGTTCCGAATAGTAATGGAATACATTTGTTATTCGTTTTTACTTTGTTGTTATTGTCCAAATCTTTATTGAATGCACTTTTAGTATTGTCAAGTCAAATGTTCGGTTGGGCTATGTCATGTCGTGACTAGTACTTAGACCACTAAATGAAAAGCGAATGGAATCCGAACAAAACCGAAAATAAATACGCGCTATGTTCATATCAAATTTGGGGTCGTCTAGATATAGTGTGCCGGCTTCTGTAGTATTTGAGAATTACGAGTTATGAGAGTATGTTATCATTGTAAGTAACGTCAATTATTCAGCGACATGTCTGCTTGATATGAAATCCGTCCAAGTGTAGAATATTCATTCGACGAATCAGATTCCAATTGTAATGGAACAAACCGGACGAAATATGCAAATAAATGTATACAATAGTGTAAAATTGAATTGAACATTTGCTTGTTCGAAATTTTACTGAAACAAAATGGAGGTGTTCAAATTCAATAATAAATATATTGGTCGAAAATTAACTGAAGTATAAAATCATTGTTACATAAAATATTCACCTAAAATTAATATCCTACAATTGCTTTTGGATTTTATAAAGTAATATTGATAAGGCAGCCGGGTGGAATGGTCTAAAAAATAAAACTGTGTGAAAAAATCTTAATCCTCAAAGTGGTAGAGTCCACAATCACCAGCGCACAAATAACCAGCGAGCCAGGTAAAATACCATTACCACCAGTCACAAGCGAGAAGTGGGGCCTAAGTCAAAGTGACAGCGTTATTTTTCTGTTTCAGAGAGGTGTCACTCTAACCCGAAGAGAAAGAGGTTAGTCTTCAACTCTAAAACGATTTTTTTTTATTCCACGCGATCGAAGTCAAGGTTATAATACTTCAAAATTAAAAAAAACATACAATAAAATGCTTCAATGTTAAGGTCATTGAGAAATTTTTATTGTATTGAGCGAAATATCAATTCGAAAAAACTTAACATACGGTAACAAAATAAAATTATTTGTTATTTTTCTTAGTGGATTGGAGTGTGATGCTCCACCGCTGGATGAGGCAGATACAACAATTATATAAATAATCAATTTCATTGAATACAATGCAACGGACACGAGAAGCCTCTTTTGTGTAAATCTTGTATACTCTTGTACTTTCAATTCATTACATTTTATTATTAATTAATCCATTTCTATCTGAAGTTCAAGTGTCAATACATTCTTATTGTTCCATTTACATTGTGTTTCCATTGGTAAAATACATGTACATAAATATATGACTGAGTTTCGATAGCTGTGGCTCTTGTCTTGACGCATATTGTTTTTTTTTTCAAAGAGAATGTGATAGATGACAATAAGCTATGTATAGGATTTTCGTCAGACGAATTTCGAGGTGACTATTATTAGGCTTAAATTTTAAGGTCGCGTCGTCTCTCTTCGACTTTCGAATAGTTTCTTAAGAAATTTCACCAAGATGAGAGTACTTTTGTTGAACTTTCATTGCTATGAAACTATTTTATTTCAGCCGCAAAAGTTTTTTTCATATGAATTAGTGGATATTTTCACAAACATTTCTTATGTATAAATCAAAATTAATATAAATCAATAGATACAATGCATGTAACATGTAATACAATTGTGGTTGTTGATTGTCCAGCTCCATAACCGCATATAAATCGTTGCTTAGCAACTAACCAAAATCAGTGATGGAAGAAACCAATTGCATTGTTATAATAGTTAAATTAATTGCATAGATAAAATAAATAAAATAGCATTTATTTGTAAATATTAGTTTGTCAATTGCATAACTATTTAATTAATTATTATCAGTTGCCATCGTAATTTATATATAAAAGAAAAAGATTTTTTGTCTGTCTATTATTTTTTTTACAATGTTCATCATTTCTCTGTTTTACTTTACCCAAAGTAAAAGTAGCAAATGTATCAACAAAACTCTTGTATACAGAATTAATTTATAAAACATTCAACTTTAAAACGCTGCGACGCCGACGAACAGCCATTTTAATTATAAAATTGGATTGTCCTTTGAGTCTAGTTGCTAAATAACTTTCTTGCTCGGGTGTAAAGGTCTATTGTCTACACTTTTGTAATGTGATAGAAAAGCTTTTTATAAAAAAGTCTGACTAATAATAAAGCGATATGACATTATTGTTGCCGACAGATACGGAACCTTTTTACACGTTATTTAATCATAAGTGTTATATTTTTTTATTTAGAACATATTATATTTTTTTTTCCTTTTTTGTCTGTATTTAAAAATGAGTTGAAAATATATCCTCTAACAGTGCGTGCTGATCTTTTCTTTTCACAATTTTTTTCCCTTTTTTCTATTTTATAATTCTATTTTGTATTTTCATTTTGTTTTTTAATTTTATTATATAAATTCCAAAATGTATCTTAATTGAACAGCTCTTTCCATCCTCACATTTCTTTATTTGGTGTCAGAAGTGAACAAAATTTGGTAAGTCATTTTATTTTATTTCTTTTCTTTATTATATCACAATGTTTACAAGCTCCCGCTCTCGGGCAGCGGCTCGCTCCTCCTCTGTGCGAGCGGCCGAAAGGCTTGCTGTTCAAGCGGAACATACAAGGCGTCTCGCGGATATTGAGAGGGATGCCGCGGAGCGTATTGCAACCGCTGAGAAATCTGCATCTGAAAAAAGATTGCAGGCAGAGGTAGCGGCGGTTGAGGCTGATTCCAGCCGCAGGTCAAGCTGTGGCAGCCAGTCTATCCATTCAACCGTTGACGAATGGCTCGAGGGTATCCCTAGGCCGTTAGAGCCTGAAGCTATTATTGATCAAAAGCCGTCATTGCCTGCATCCTTTTCTTCAGCTTCGACTAATATACAGATTAGCACCACTGCGTCGTTGTCGCCCGTGTTATCGAGCACGGCGACATCGCCCTTTTACCTAAAGCAACGACACCAGGTATCCCCCATGTCTTCCAAGCGGGAGACGCCATGCAGGCACATCCGCAGGCAAGGGGTCCAAACATTATCAATGTCGCTGCGCCCAAATAAAGACGACGGAAAATATGAGGATGGAAAGAGCGGTTGAATTAAGAAAAAATTTGAAATTTATATAATAAAATTGAAAAGACACAATGAAAATATAAAATAGAATTGTGAAAAGAAAAGATCAGCACGCACTGTTAGAGGATATATTTACAACTCATTTTTAAATACAGACAAAAAAGGAAGTAAAAATATAATATGCTCTAAATACAAAAATATAACACTTTTAAAAAACGTGTAAAAAGGTTCCGTATCCGTCGGTAACAATAATGTTTAGATGAGAATCACTCAGAATTGTCAGGTGATTACTTAAGCAGTCCGTTAGTCTCTGAGTGCTGTATTAAAATACAAAGGATAATTTTAATATGAATCGAAAAATCAATCCAAATGTTAACAGACTCAAGTAAAAACGTATGTAAAAATCGAGTAATATTCTCTACCAGTAATGTTTCTTTTAAGTAAATGCTTTCCAGAAACTTTTTATTTCTTTATCACTTGCTGTATTAACAGGTATAACAGGATAACATCTACCTAATAATGTGTAATAAGACAAGACTGATTTAGTAACGATGAAATTATTTCAAATGAATAAAAACTTTCCTCTTACAGAAATGTCTCATTTAACGTTGTATTGAAAATTGACTTAGTCTTATTGTACTTGTAACAGAGAATGGGAACTATCAATTTAACTTATAGTTTACAATCTTCAGGTAATAAAGCCGATAAAATAACGTCTCAAGGCACGTCAGTGGCCTCTCCAAGAAATGAGACGAGGAAATGTGACCCGTCTTTTAACCAATTACCTTTAATACTTTGAAACTTCATGAAGTTTAAAGCTCTACTTCATTTTATAAAATTTATTATTATTAAGAACAGAAGTAAAGGAAAGACAACAGGAGTTGGCTTGCCACATATGAGACGGAATACCGGAATACTTGCACTTGACGATTGTGGTCATGGTATTGCACTGGACCAGTGCCTTTGCCTTTCTTGCAGCAGTGGCATTTTGCCGCGGTCTCCGACCACTTAATTTAAATTTATTTATATGACAAAATGAATCCCTTAATGCACTTAACTATTGAATTTAAAAGGTACAACTACAAAACATACGAATTAATGATTGTTTGCAAAACAGACGATGCTATTTTGTAAATTAAATGCAGTACTATGTTTACAGTGATTCAAATTCCTTTGCAGTAAACTTTGACTATGAAGGAACGGAATAGGAATAGAGCCAACTCTTTGTGCTTAATTCTGCCACTTTTTGCTAATGGTGTGGTAAAAATGACAAACTTATGGATATCATCCCGATAGGTAGTTATACTAACCGAGCAAACAATTTTAGAACTTATTGTTGTTTGTAATGAAATACTTGGGAATGGGCGCGCTTGGCCAGTCCTGTCTCTTAAAAGACAAAGCAGGAAATAAGAGCATTTGAAAATGAAGCCGAATATCTGAGTATTTGATAAAAGCGCATTTCCAGCACATAATTGGTTTCCTGGAACGAGCGCTTGCTTTCAAAATATAGAATAATAATGTGGGGACATTACTCAACAGAATTAATTAAATTGACAATTTTGTAAGGATTAATTACATAGTATCATTTACTTCGTGGTAAAAGCTTACAGTAAATTTTCACCGGAGAAATAACTGTATGAAAACATTTTGCCGTCCCGTTGGTTCTCTTTGAAAAAAACAGAGATAAAAATGCGATTCATTACAAGTGTTTCGGAAAAACACGGTTTCATAATAACGTATTCGATATAATTTGTTTGTGTTGTGATTCGGAAAGTATTTTTAGTTAAATTTCTCATTAATACAATTTAAAACTATATATGTTATGACAAGTTAATGAAGATAGAATACATACCATCCATGCGTGAGCCATCGCCGTGCCAATCTTCCTCTGTAACAATAAATAACTGTGTTATTTACGAATTAACATCATCATCATCATCAGCTCACTATACGTTCCCACTGAGGTGCTCGGAGCCTACCCTAAGATAATGACAAAGTAATAGTCAACCACGCTGGCCCAGTGCGGGTTTGTTTACTTCACACATGTCTTTGAATTTCTTCGCCAATATGTGCAGGTTGCATAGCGATGTTGTCATTCACTGTAATAACGTCGTATAGATGTACATATGCAAATAGAAAAACTCATTGGTACATGGCAGGATTCGAACCCAGGATCTGCAGATTATGAGTAAAATGCTTAACCACTAAGTTACCGACGCTCTTCACCAATTATACCGTACGAAAGTAACATTATTTATTTTAATACATGAGCCGAATTGTAGCTCATAATCCAAAAGTGGTTGGAAGCTATGGCGCATATCCATGTAATATCCCTACATTCTCGTCGGTTGCGCTTCTCATTAAAATGTTAATTAATATTTGTATATAAATTCAGACAAATCCACTGAAAGGTACGAGCTGCAAGTTTTAAAAATTCTCCGCATCTGAAGATTCAAAATTAATTTACTGGCATTTTAAAACTTGCCCTCTAATTAATAGATGCAACCTATAAACTTTAAACACTCACCATTTTCTCGACCTTTTCTTTTCTTTTTGCCGACGGAGCTGGAGGATTTACCAGTTTTTTCTGATTTGTCTTTACTTTTCCATCGACTAAGCATTTTGAATTATTTTTAATCCAATCCATAAGCATTGAGCATACACAGTATTTTAGGAGCACCCATTTTTTTAACGTTATTGAGTTTTACCAATCATTAGTTATCAACAATCACTTTTTAGCACTCTTTTATTACACTGGGTATGTCCACATTGTTAATTCACACACACTTTGTTTTTTTTTTTGAACACTTATATTAATATTTTTATTATAACGATATGTATATTTAGTTTCAGTTCCTATGTTTGCTATGTCATAAGGTAATACGGCTCTTCGGAAAGATTATAAGAAAAATTGTAATAGCGTCGTAACTATATTTTGCATTTAACAGGCCTACTAAAAAATTAAAATAATGCCAAAATTGTGAGTACAATAAAATTTATTTAAATTTCTTTAAAAACGACCTACCTATTTGTTTTGTTATTTTTACAAAGATTTTTTTGTTCTAAAAACGCCTTTTTTGTCCACAAATCGAATTTTAATATAAATTCATTCGGACATTAAAATATTATCACATCATACCTCAGCAAACGTTTTTAATTAGCCCCTTTGTGTGAGGGATTACACGGGAATTTATCGTAGTCATTGATTGGTCGTTTTTAATAACTACACATTTGGCTCCAGCTATGGATGGACATTTAAGTTCTACTGAGCACGATTTTATTTTTTTTAAATGCAAATTTTTATAACTTGACAATACCCTTTCTTTATATCTATATATGGATTTAATATTACCGTATTATAATTTTCAAGAACCTTTATATTATAATAATAGAAAAACGTAAGCAAGCAAATTAAAAATATAGTGTGTGGTGACATCTGTTGGCCACGATTGCAATGTAGTTCGGTAAAATTATAATATTTTCAATCAAAAAACTAACGTAAAAAGGTGAAATATTAACTTTCTGTGTACTTTCCAATTAATAATTGTTATTTAAACTATTGTAGAAGTCACCAGTTACAAGCGAAACAAATAAAAAATAGGTAAATAAAAATGCAAAATAGCGAGATCTAGCGCCTGAAATGGGAGTTATAATGAATTGCAGTTTGCGTCTTTTTAGTAATAGATGGCAGTGAGTACGCTATTTATTTGGAATTCCGGAAGTTCGCTGCAGTCACCGGGAGAGAAATCATTACCGAAAGGAAAGTGTTGCCGCCGTTTGCTTTTATTGTTATTAGTACAGTATTCTATTCTCACTGCCATGAAGAGGCTCTGTTTTCTTGTGTAATATATCAAATACGACAATAAACTATAAAGTGTAAAATATGTGTGAAAAAACTATTTTTTTGACAAGCCGAATAGTTGTGAATGAAATTGTGAATTCTTTTTTTGATACAAATGTTACTACTATAATCTCGGTAATTTTTAATTAAGAAATAATTGTTATATTGAAGATTGAAAATAAAAAAAACTTTGATAAATTTTACATCATAGTGAAAATTTTTATTCAACAGGTGAGTTTATTATTGCACTTGCTACCCTAGACATTGAAAGTTTCCAAATCAATAAACAGTTAGCTGAAGTTGGCAGCGGAGCTATTAAAATAAATAAGACAAGAATTGCGAAGGATAAATATGTTTAAAATTACATAATCATATGAAAATTTTAAAAAGTATGGATTTCGCAGTGTTTGGTTTAACTGAAGTATTTGTTTTAGCTTTTCTATTAAACAAATTTTAATCAGACTTGGACTAAACAAATATGTGAACATATAGTGTGGTGGTGTAAAAACGATAGTGATCAAAAAAAAGATATAATACGACTTGTATTGAGAAAGCAGACGTCGCATAATTTTAGCTTTATAAAAGTGAGTACTTATTGCGTCTTAAAATAACGTGTATATATTATATTGATACATATTTCATAGTAATGTATTTGCATTTTCTGGTATTAAAAGACTTCAAGGTCATAATAAGATTTGTTGCAAAAATCAGTAAAAGAGCTTTATTATTAGGCGCAACCAAACCATATAGTTGAGAAATTACATCTAATGTGATGTATTTTTATATGCATATGTTTATTTTATTAGGTTTTAAAAACTGAATATTTTGATATTTTACTCGTATTTATATTTATTATACAGGTTATTGATTTTGCTGTTGCGCATGTACTGATTTTAGTTTTTTAAATTTTGTTTATCAGCAACATGGTGTGCTATTCCATTGTGATATTTGAATAATATCCAACAAACGATATAAAAATAACTTCCCAACAATAATGTAGGAAAATGAAGGAAAACATGCTTTAAAGATTTTAAACCTAAAAAAATATTAATTTCTTGTCTTTCATTAAATTTCAGCAGATGCGGTTGACGTGAAGGAAAAAGGGGCGTATGCAGCTGCCGAGAACATTGTAAGTTTGTAATTAATATTTGTATAACATCAACAAACCCCCATATGCATTAATACAATTAAGTTCACTAAACATCTAAAAGACATCTCAATCGACGAGTATGTATGAATGTATGATTGTGAAATTAGCGGGAGGTATACTTGTACATAGTCACAGAAATATATAATCTGTATGTGTAGTGACGCAGATACTGGAGATCATAACATGATCAGGTAATACAGGAGATGATACAAAAAATTACTTTTCATGGTAAAAATTGTATTCATTTACATTTATTTTTTCTCTATTATTTCAGATGCTGTCCAGTCGAGTCCAGAGCCACATCTATCCAGCTCCGATTATCGGTATTTTGTAGGTAAATTTAGAGAGAGATCAAGGAATAACACTTTACATACAGAATTGCTTTGCTTCTATGATTCACTCGATGACAATGATAATTTATACAAAAAATATAGATGTTACTAATAACCCCAAAAAATAATACTTAAACATAGTAAGCCTTATTTTCCTCTGTCTCTCTCTCTTGTTTAGTTATCCTTAAATTCACAATAATAGAAAAATTTAGATCGCTTTCACGAGTAAAGGCGTTTGCTTTAATATGGCTTTTTTAGAAGTGATTGAGTTCGAAGTAACAATTTTGCATATATTTTTTTTTGGATGCAAAGTGTTATAACCTATGTATTAGGGGTTACTGCTTTAAATCTCGTTTCGACACTTTTATTAATACCACTTTTAGAACGATTGCATTTTTTGGCATGAAAATACATACATATGTATGTATCGTCATAAATCGACCACGAAAGAATGAGAGTACTTAATTTGTTTATTAAAACAAAAAACGACGTAATTAATAAAAAATTCTGCTTTTTACGGGTAACGCATTTTTTAATCTCTTTATTTCAAATTTAATCACTACCAGTTATTTTATAAAAAACACTAGCGGTTACCTGCGAATTAGTCATCGCGGAATTAAAAAAAAAGCCTGTAAGATGCCCGCGTGCATCACCTACCTTTCCATTCAATTCCCGGCAAAATAGGTCCAGCCGTTTCGGAGATTGCTCGGAACAAATCTAATCCGCTAGTTGTAGGTGCCGTCACCTACAATCCAATCGCGCTCGGTAAATTTCGCCATGATTATCGTAGACCTAGGCACGTCCTCGACTTTCAAGATGACGCAACTACTATCGCTCAGGCTAGGGTTAAACAACTTCGCAGTCACACCACACATCCTAGTCGCTGCCGGCTACGGCAATCATTCTCGCGATATGGCCTCATAGCAGGCAGATTTTCACCTGTCAACGATAGAAGCGTAGCTGGAGTTTCTTCCGCCACTTCTTCTCCCAGCGCTAACGCTTTCCGAAGTGGTAGTAATATTAGATGCATCAGAGCTAATAATAATCAGACAACAGCAACCGAACAAGCCGAGGTTCGGCCTCCTCGGGCACCCTTGAATCGGAATGCTAAACGCGTATCGAGTGACAGCCCAAGCCGAGGTCCCCTCTCGGGGACCCTTGAGCTCCGTCACTCCATGGAGCGTCCACCGAAGCGACCTAAGAGCTCGGCGGCCTCCCAATCCAGTAATAATAACGAAGTAACGGCCCGAGCCGAGGTTCCTGAGGGAGCCCTCGAGCTTAGTTACTCTTAAACGAGGTTTAGGCTAAGTGCCATCTGCGCTCGGCCACCTCAAGCCCGGTGAAGCTGTAAATGCCTCCTCAAGGCAAACAGTGGCAATCAGTCACAAAAAAAATCGGAACAAACGCGGCCTTACATACAAATATAAAAAAAATGATTTATTGTTATCCGCTACATCATGTGTACGAAATATATATATTTTTTATATTTTAAATACAGACACTACTATTTTATTAATGTGCATAGATACGTCCCAAAAGTAAATTTAAATAACAAAGCATCACCAGATTTTTAAGATTATGAACTACGTACTTTGAAACGATATTAATATCCTTACAGAAGTCAGTTATGACGACACCGTCCGCGCGGAATTAAAAAAAAACTTAATTAGTAGCCTACGTGTTCTTCCAGACTATGTTCTACATCTATGCCAAATTTCAGCGGGATCCGTTGTCGTTCTGGAGATACCTTTAAACAAAATTCCATCCATCGATCTATCCATTCACCCAAACATTCGCATTTATAGTATAAGTATTAAAATATTAGTAAGATTTCCCTAAATCACGAGAAGTGACTACAGCCAGCTGTGAATTTAAAGTGTGTCAATGGAATAAACATCTCGGCCGCCAATGAATGTATCACCCAAAGAAAGGGAAATGAACATCCTCTAGATAAAGATTAGCTAATATTATAATAATAATTAGGAACCATACTACTTATTACACTGCGAAAGTAGTATTGCAAGGCACATAGTATACAGAAGAATGCCCTGATTGACCATAAATGCAAAGTGTCACTTCAGCAAGTTTAGGATCTGAGTACTAAATTTTTGTTGCGTGAACTTTGTACGCTATTGGAGAAAATTGTTTTTGATATGTAACGGAATTTCACGAGAGGAGATAAAATGATATTTAAATTAACCGCGACACTCTTATCTTCAAAGAAGATCTGACATAAGGGGAAAAAGAACACAACATAAGTTAAAGGAAAGCACAACAGTAGTAGTACAGTTAACCTATTTTCTGCTCCCTCCCTCCCTTTGAAGGGTTGTCATAATGTGTACGTATTGGGGTACAAAATTTCTAAATATCAGCCATCATTAACTCCTTTCTTGCGCATACATTTTTTCACACAATCTACAAAACATACATACTTTCCTCAACTTTTTTCTATCATTGCTATCTGCATTCAATCCTATCACTTTATTTTTTGTCTTGCCTTATTTATTTGTTTCTTATGTCTTCAATAATATGCCTATATCACGCTAATCATCTGCTTCTCAATTTCTCTATCACTGGCACTACTTGCAACTTAGTATAAGCATATACTGTTATGGATACAAAAAGGTAAATAACCACATAAAAATTCATAGCAAATTCTTAGCTTCTTTCATAAGCACAAATTTTATTGATTTTATTTATTTTTCCAGATCTATGAATAAAAGAAACATTCTTTTTTATTTATAAAGAAAAGAAGGTGGATATTGTTTAGAATTCAAGTCAAACTGTTAATAATGAATATTTCAAATAAAGTATTTAATAACGTATAACTGCATAAGTGATAAGATAAAAAGCATATTAGTAATGACACAGTGTTACACGAATAACATTCATAATAAAACAAAGTAATGGAAATGAAGAAAACAAAAACGCAACAAATTTAATATATTTTACACAATAACACTAGGTTTGAAGTGAGGTCGCATAGGAAAAATTCCAGTGGTGATTTACCGGAAATGAAGATTAGCATAGGACAAGTTGAAAAAGCCAAAGAGGAAATATATGAGTATGAAAAATTAAGTAACAGGTTGTCCACCTATATCTAATAATCGAATGCATTTAAACTGTGACTAATTAAAGTATGTAAATTTTTCAATTACGCATTTTTGTAACTTATAAAACGATTCAGTAAAAACGCAGGAATTAAAAATTTTCCGTTTTATTTAGACCTTATTGTATTTTTTTTAGGATTAGGTGAAATACCGTTTACTTATAAACCGAGAAATAAAAAACACGCCTAGTTCCAACTCATTTTTTTTTAATAAGCTTGTTCATGTTTTGTATAATTTCCTGCCATTGAGGTTTTTTTGCAAATTTATCCATAATTTGAAAAACTGATTAGAAATGAAGATTTTAATAGGATTCATTAATTTTTATCTTAGCTGCGTACACTTAATACTGAATGTCACTGTGCTTATGAAGATGTGTCTTTACTTTCTGCCTTTTTAATTTCTTTAGACTAATACTACTTCGTCTGGGTATATTTTTATTTAAAGTAGTTTTTTAGTAGTTACACTGGATAACATGTGTTATAAACTTAGTAAATAATCTGCTTGAATGTTATTTTATTTTTCATTTTCAAGTGTGATTATGTGAATATCATATCATAATGTGTTTTCTTCCTTTTAATTGTTAATTTCAGCGCCATCTATGATGGTGCTTTGGAAGCCATAACGTTAGAAAAGTAGGCGTGAAACGATTAGAGCGCCATCTATTATCGCAAGCTGAAATTCCAAATCGCGCCATCTGTGCACGACAAACGGAAACTGCATAGCGTTTATTATACCGCGAAATTCGCTTCATGTATTTCGTAAAACCAACGATAGATGGAAGACCACAACTTTGCATCATAGAGGGCGCTAAAATTACAATACAAAAGCAAAGCTCCTTATTTGCGGGTTAAAAATCGGGACGCTAACTTAACCTCGCGAATAAAGGAACTTTTATTTCAACACAAAAATAAACATATTAATACATACTATAATAGAGTTAATAACAAACAAAAAGTAAAAATACTTAAATAATTATTAAGGCACAAATTAATAAAAATTGTATCAAACGTTTAGGATTTTATTACAAAGTAGCTTATCTTATTAAAAACATAAAGTAACATAATAATTTAAGAATTCGCTTGCTTCAGATAAATTAGGAAATTGGCAGAGTACGTTTGTTTATACGCTCGTGCTTTACTGCTGCTCTTCGGCTAATTGTTTTTATTTAGTACCTACATCAGTAATCCGATCGATATTGCGCAGTAGCTTGCGAAATCCGCATCTACCCCCGTGTTACTGTCTTTCTTTCCCTTAATATTTATTTATTTATAGCTGTCGACCGGTATTCCACCCGCCCGTAATTATAAAAAAAATAATGAGTCTAGGTGCTTTTCCAAATTTTTTTCTATAACTATGCCAAATTTCAACGAGAGCTGTGTAGCAGATCCTCCTAACTAAATAAATACAGCAATCTGTTTTTGTACTGGATTTTTCGGCATTGGAAACTTAAAATTATTCAAGTTTTTCAGAGGAAAATCCCATTTGAATTTTTTAGATGGTTCAATAGAAAATCTTTTATAATTATTTACATAGGCATATAGTTGTACATATTAGAACATTTCTAAAAATTTATATAAAATGCTTTGTCGGTCGGAAAATTATTAGTACAATTATTTTCAGAGTTTTAGGGGGTGTACATTAATTATACGGGGGTTTACAGGGGGGTTTGCGGTAGGGAAGGGTCGAACCTCATCTGATTTCTTGTGGGGTGGAGCAGGGGGCTTTCGTTGTATATCTATTTTGCAGATATTAGGTAAAATTTTATGGAATTTTGTATTTAAATAATAATTATTTTACCCAATAGTTTAAAAATAAAAAAAGTTTTATAATTAAATATTTAAAATGATTATTGATTACAAAAAAAATCCGATTACCTTATATTAAAATGAAGGCAATAAAGCATATTAAATTTTCAGTCTACCGTACAATAGAATTATTCGGCACAATAAATCACCTTAACACTCTTCATCTACCATCTGCATCTACGACCATAATCCATGTATAAAACATACAGTCATCCCTCTCATTACCTTTGACCAAACAAAGATAACAATATGTTTCAAACTGGGTCTTGGTATCATTACCAATGATTAATGCGGCAGTATTCCAATATTTGATAAAATGGACAATTGCTTGTTAAGATAAATACTACATTCTCAGGCATTCTAATATTCAACTAGCATTGCATTATTGAAACGGTTTGATTAAGGAAGAACCGCTACGTCACAAAACACCTACGTACTGTAGGGGTGACGGAGGGTGCCAGTGGCAGGTCTAATCCCCTTGCCCGTCCCTCTCCTATTCA